TATATATATATATATATATATATATATATATATATATATATATATATATATATATATTACAGGTCTTCGAATAATTTTTTATCAAGATTAGATTCTGAAACTATGTCTAGAAATTCATCTGAGTTCAAGAAAGATGCCTAGAGATTTTCAATCTTTTGTCCAGCATTATAATGCTATTACTTGCAGCCTTTAGTAGCTCCAGTGCGATTGTCACCTCGTAATGAGCCACTGACATTGTTTTTCACTGATAAATACGTCTTCAGTAATCATTACTTGTGCCAACAACTGTGCATCGATGGAATGAATTTTATTTGCACAGAACAATACTACATGTACTGGAAAGCTAGTAAGTTCTTTAGTCATCATTTAAATAAAAACAATATTGTTCTATGCTTCCTGTATAATGTATTTTCTTGAGAATATAATAGTAAAGTGCCAAATAATTACTTTGTTCGATTTTGACCTGCAGTTTCACTCAACTAGTTGTTTCTCTTTTGTACTTTTAAATAAATGTCCAATTATTTAATCCTGAGTTGATGTGGCTGTTGAAAATTTGGAATGTGTTTGAAATTCCTACCGTCGTAATCATCACAGCTTTTTCTGTCTTCCAGTAATTAATTTGCATACTTTCACTTTTGCATACGCTTTCTCGATTTTCGATCCGTCAGATTTTGTGACCAGTAAAGTACTTGTCTATTGGGTGGAAATAAAATTAAATTTGTACATTGTTTGTGTTTTAGAATTGTTCAAGGACGAAGATACTGCGATGGCGATAATGGCAAGCCATGATCCGAAACAAATGAAAATGCTGGGCGCAAAAGTGAAAAATTTTAGCCAGCCAATTTGGGACAAATTTTCGACGCAAGTTATGGCCATTGCCAATCAAAGAAAGGCAGATATAATTTTGCTTCTGACTTGACTTTTATTTGTCTGAGCTGCTTCCATTGTTAAATTCATCATGTCTGCATTGTGATTTTACAGTTATCGGTTTTACGTGGGCCTAACTGATGTTTTGTTATCTAATAAAGCTTGGTTAGCAGCTCAAAAAACTGGTTTGAAAATTAAATGTTATGACCAGGCGTTTAACTCCTTGGTTTGTAAAAATTAAGTTTAGTCTGCCATTGTAGGTCGATATTCAGTGATAATATACTATTTCAGTACGAGCAGAACAAAGATCTTCGACAAGCATTATTTCGTACAATGTATACAGTTTTGGTTGAATGTAATCCCCGAGATCAGCGATGGGGTATTGGATTGGGGATGGACGAACCAGACGCTTGCGATCCGCAGCGGTGGAGGGGTTTAAATTTGTTGGGGAGGCTACTGACTCGAATTCGTGATCGTATGGCCGAAAATGCCATTTATAGGAATGAGGTGTGTTGTAACTTTCACTCAAATATTTTTTTTTTTTTTGTTCAGAGCCAGTTCACAGCAAATTTTTTCATTTTTAGTACTTTTTAGGTTGTTGAAGCTCAGTCGATTATACACTTCAAGGGTTTTCTGGGCAGAACTGCGTAGATGGGAATTCCTGATAGTTGCAATATCTCGGTGTTTCCTGATATGTATTTTTCCTGTCGACGTTGTAAACTTCTAGCCTGAATAGAACTAACAGTCTTCATTACCACCATTCTGACTTGTGGTAATATGTGGCTTTCATCTTGCTGTATTTAAATTATCAGACTAGCGTACTCTGTTGTCACTTTACTAACCACTAAGCGGAGATGAATTGTTGGAACAAAGTTGCTCATATGAACTCATTTATGTAGAATACAAATAGTGATATAAGTGAAAAGGGTAATACTTTGGAGGGGTAATACTGCCAATTTTTCGTATGTTACCTTGGTCGGTTGCATGTGGTGGTCATCAAGTTTGCTTCGGAAAATATAAACATTATTAAATTTGTAAACGAAACTTTCCACACTTTTAAAGGTTTTTATAAACAAAAACTTTCACACCTTTAAAAAAAAGTTTTTTAAGAGCTTCGCAATTTATCTTTGCTTAAAATTATACTTGTTGTTTTATAAACATTACCACTTCGGTGGGTTTGGAACCAATTTTGATTTTTGAGATTTCGCTGATTCCTCCCACTTTTTGTGTCTCATTTTTTACGTTTTCTTTATGTGCTTTCAAAGAAACATGTACACTCACATTTAGTGCCTTTTGCTTCCTGACTTTTTCACGGGGTGCTGAATTAATTGCTTTTTCGCAGCCATTTATATAGTAGCCTTTTCAACAGTCAGAGTACATATGAATAAATGGCGAAGCCATGATGAGAGCTAAAAAAAAATACCAGGATTTACTAGCTGTAACTTACTGTACTTATTTAGTTATGAAATCTCTTTATTTGCATGTTGTAATGCTTTGGTTCATAGCGCCTGGTGAAATTTTGCTGATTTTTGGTTAGATAATGTCTAACTTTGACCATAGTAACTCCAGTTTTATTTAACTTACAAGCTTTATAATTTATTCGGAAAGTAATAAATTTAGTACTGAACTACTACTGCTAGTTCCAGCCCATCATTAGTATCTATTCTATTTATATACTATTCATGTACTCAGGAAAAATTTTGATAGCTTTTCTGAACCTTGCAAATACAGCCTTTCTTGTACATATCTCACAGACATTCGTGTTCATCTCATTTTACTCGTCTCGTTTATATGTCACTTTTCCTTGCAACGTTGCATAATTAATTCAGGGAGACTTTTTCAGTGTTTTTGAAGTCAGTAATAAATCAGTTCTCATCAAGTGATTAAGTATTGTAGTCTTAATTAGATATTTAATATCGTGAATGATATAATTTGTTAGCTGTGCACAAATGTCCGTCTAGGTCCTGGTACGCTCTTGACCTCATTCTAATTTTTTTTTTCATAATTTCGTAAATGTCATACGTTAAGCCGCACACCCACTTCACTTTCACTGGGGTATGACTAAATATACATACCCACTTTTACTGGGTATGTATATTCAGTTTCGTGTGGAATTTTGTGGACTGCTTGGAAATTTGATGATTCCTGTATTAATTTTCTGGTGTATTATATATACATGTAATGTAGTAACTGCTTCTCTCCAATGTATTGGCTCGATGTTGCTGCCTACTCTTACATACCAATTCCTATTTTTATGTTATTGCTAGTTTTAAAGAATTTCATCGTGGATCTCATTTATCTCCGTAAATTTGTAGGGATCAAATTGGGTTCAGTAGTTTCGTCCCACTGCTATCATTTCCGTACCATTTTAGACGTCTAGTATCCGCTGGCTTTAAGCTTATAACCTCGACTTTTACTTTCCTCCACTGATCTCTTGATTCATTTAATTCATGGCGTCAGTGATTCAAGCTGTGTGATTTCAAAAATTAGCTCCATTCTTTATTCTTAAGCCGTCAATCATGGTGTCTCTTGACCAGGTCAGGAAGTCCAGCAGTAGGTGCAGTTGCTTTTCAAATGTTTACCCAAGTAATTATGCTTTCGGGAGCAGTATGATGTTCATATAATATCTACCGATTTCTACTATTCCCCCAATTATCGTTTTACTTAGTCAAGAAGGCGTTAAGGTTGTTCTTAAAGTAAAACGCCAAAGAAATAATAAACTTTTGAAGATAAGTTGCCATTGAAAAAAAAATCCATTAGATCATTATTTTACCATAGCGAAGCATATTCGTTCAGGCATGATTTTGTGTAGATTTCCGAAAATTGAACAGTTTTTTCTTCAGAGCAGGCTAACAACGAGCTTGATGCAAGCTAAGTTATATGTTTTTGGCTATAGTTTGGACCAGTGTGTTTTGTCGTTATTTTTGATTTCAGTTGGGTTTTGCAAAAGCAAAATTGATTTGCCTCAATATTTAGAATACCTTTTGACATATTGTTTAGTCTAGCAAATTGATAACGTTTCGTGTAATTCCTTTTTTACTGCAGTTGAAAGGTAAATTTTGTCAACTGCAGAAGTGGTTAGTCTTTTAAATTTTGTCAAAAATTCAAGGACCTTGAAATTAGAGTAATTTCATTATATCAGGAGATATTGACCCAGTCAAGATTTTCAACAGCAAACATCCGTGGGAAGGGAGTTGTGTGTTATTCCGTAAATAGCCGGTAATGTTGATAAGTGGATCAACTTTACTTACCTATTGTCGTGATCATGTGTATCTATTTCTGAATAATTTCCGTTTTATATTTCTACTTTATGGTCGTCTTGTAAACCTTCAAGTTGCTGCCGAATACTTGAAGTCTTTTCTATCTAAATATTCCAGAATGTCCTTATCATTCTCCTGTGTTCATGTTAAAAAACAGTTCGTTACTTAGGACTGTTCCAAGATTGAAGTTGTTTAACGCATCACGGGTAAAAACTAGAATTAAAGAGTTTTTTCTGGATAATATTATTTCGTTCATTAAAAGTGTTGGCAACTGAAAATATATGCTGTGAATTATGTTTTGCATCTGGAGTTGTCTCAGCATCCGATTTCAACGAGAAATTATTACGTTTTATTTGAAGAAATTGCCGTTACGCAAAACTGGTATACTTTAGAATAGTTTTGGCCTCCTTTGTCTAAATTTGATTTGCTTTTAGTGTTATTGTACCTCTTTCCTGTCGATTAGTGTATTTGTTAATACATATGCATGGCATTTTCAATTTCCTTTCTCTTGTTTACAGAGATTTTGAACTGACATCGCTCTCTTTCATGGACTGTACACATATCTTTGCTTGATGGATCGTAAAATTTTTTGGGACAAATGATGTCCTAGTAACAAGTCGTGGAAGAGAATGAAGCCCTGCTGAACAATTAAGATAATTGGTCAAAAGAATTGTAACAAAACATTAATGATTTTCGTCGGAATATATCTGAAGTGAACTTTACTGAATTGGATTTGGCGTATTCAGTGGCATAGCAAGTTTCAGAATGAGAAGGGTAAGTAGAAGGGGGAGATGTGCTTTCCCCCTTCTACTTATCCTTCTCATTCTGAGATGTGCGGTAGAGGATGTGATTTGTTAGGATTAAGCTTCTGTTCTTTCATTTCTTATTTTGAACGCCTACACAACTTACTGATTCTCACTATTTTCGTTTCTGTTATTTTTTTTGGTAGTTTTAGGCGAGGTGCAACACCAATTTCGAATAATTAATTACATTTTGCTTAATATAACTGGACAAACAATTTGTTCTGATCTCATATAATTTTTTAATGATTTTCCTAATATCCTTTGATTTTCCTAATATCCTTTACACTGTCAGTTTTCGTTTAAATCTTGATTAGTACATCACAATAAGTACCTCTCAATTCCTAGATTTTCGCAACATTATCAGTGTTGAAATTTTCATCCACTTATTAAATTTTATGGGTGTTTCTTGCCGAAATATTCCTTTTTATCGTCCGAACCATGTGTCATTTATCTTAAATGCGTATGTAATAGGTAGTTTTTTACAGTACTTTATTCGGTTTATGCTCGATAATATCATTAGCAGAGCATTTTTTTTTATTTTAGTGTATTTTGTGACTTGATTTCAATGACCATTACTGTTGTTTGATGTTTATTTGTGATATCAATACTGTATTTTGATATTCAGTTCTGTACATGAGCTTACCATGATACATCACATTTATAAGTTAATTATTGTTACTAACATTTCCATAAACATAAAGGTACTACCACTTTTGTCTTATGTGGGTTTTTGCACAGAACACATTCCTGCAGAGAAATTGTCTCTGAATGAATAGCAGTGCATAGTAACGGTGTCATCAGGATTTTCTGTAGCTTTTGTTCGAAGGGTAGCTACTGAAGTAAGGATTGGTTGAGATCTTTGCTTTCCTTGTTGCCTCACTGTGTCCGTAACATTTTAATATTTTAACGACAAGATAGCAAGCTGGAACGACTTTTCGCAAATCCATTCATTTGAAGGAGAGTTTGAACTGTTCAAGTACTACAGAGAAAACAATGTTAGTATTTCGAATAAACCATATTACTCATAATCTATCATGATTGGGTTTTAGGCAATTTCCAGAGACATGATCTCATCCCTGAATTTCGTTCGGTTCGAAATATATAGTATGACACAAAACTGTTTTGTGATAGAGTTTTCACTTCCCTGGTAAATTGCTCATCAGTAACAGCTTTAATGCAAAGGGCAGCAAGATCCACCTATTTCATCGCTTTTGTTTATCACACGGTTTATGCGATAGTTCCGCCACTTTTCGTGAATGAGAATTTTTTTTTAAAGGAAATAAAATGAGCAGTAGATCGCAAAAAATCAAAGTAACTAAGGAGAGGAAGCTTGATGCAGAAGAACCCATGCGATCGAGCTTATTTTCGATGAATCGCGATTTTTCATATTACTGTAAAGGATGTCTTAAGGTACTTGAGGAAATGCTACTAGTTGATTTTTGGAAATTCTATTCATAAATTGTACTGGATTTCTTTTAAATTCGAAGTATGCTACTAAAAGCAACAAGTCGATTAAGTACAACAAACTTTCAGTGTACTGTGAATAAGAGAAGCAATTTCAATTCAAGCAATTGAAATGAGATATAATGCAGGGTATTACTAAATCACACAGTAAGCGGCTTAATTTACTTATACTCTGTGTTTCATGACGCTGAAAAGTGACATTTTCAGATGGATGGATTGTTTTGCAGACAACTGTTGTAGTACTGAAATCTGATCCGCCTTATCTCGTTTTTCCCAAAGAGTTTTCATTGTAAAACAGCTGTTCCAATTTCCAATTTAACCCACGTTAAAATTATTCCCTCTTCCAGTTTATTCACCACGACCAGTTCTGGTTGGTTAGATAATAACAAATTGTTTAATAGAACAGACGCAAAAGTAAAGAGGAAATCTTTTCTCCGCCATCTTCCTCTTCCAGCCATCTTTTCCTAGACCGGCACCATACCAATGGAAAAGGTCGATTCATCAAGATTTCCCGAGAAGTAGTATTTTGTTGATTATTTAGCTCGTTTTTTTTTTCTGATATTAATTACCTAGGTAATCGTGCATCCGATCAGAGCCAGATGAACAACCGTAGAAAAACTAATTCTGTAGATAGAATCGAGATAGTCATAGGCTGGGCAGTGGAGTGTCCCTCAATCAGAATTGCCTTCTGCAAAATTTTCAGCCACCTTTTCTGGATATTTACCTAGCACAGATAGATAACTAGCAAGAGATGTAGAAGGATGATTCATAGAGTTTATGCATTTTTTGGAGTTCAACAGTTCTCATACTGCTGATATTTTCTTTCACCTAAAATATAGAAATAAAAAAAAGGAGATGAAGTTGCAACGGGAATAATTCAAAATCAGCTGCAAAAGTTGGAAGTACTGAGTTAATTTATTAACTTTTCCATGAGCAATTCTGTGCTTTTGAAGTTTATGAAAAGTATTCTTATTTCCTAATAGCGTTGATAACGTTGATGGAAAAACACTGCTGAAAAAGAAAAGCTTTCAAATGAAAAAATCAGCGTCGGCAGAATTGTGCTTAAAATGCTTACACCAGTATGGTTGTTCATGTTGACTGAGTTGTATTCTCGTTGAAATCGACGATAACAACGGAACTAAACATTCGAATGAAAGTGATAATTTGAATTCAGTGCTAACAGTGGTGCTATGTAATGGCTTGAAATCGATCTCATTTGAAAATAGATTTAGAATTGAAACAAGGGAAAGTGATTCTAATGAGGTACAAAATTGAACTGCCTGAAAAGGAATGAATTGTTCTCATTCACTGCATCAATGGTAAACCATGTATGAAATAGGTAGGTAGTTATTATTGGCCGGAGCGTTAGTTCGAACGAAGATCCCTTATTCACTTGGGAGAATTTCATTTTTATTCTGCTTCTGAAAACACCTTTCGCATTTTCACGTTCCATTTCTATGCGTCACTAACTGTTTTTTTCAAAGATTTTGAACAGGAAACCGCTGAAAGCATATATTTCCTGAATAACTTTCCTGGGAAACTTTCTCCTTCAATTAGATAAGTACAACGATTATTTATTAAAACTGCTGCACTGTGATGATAACTCGACTAATATAGGACTTGCCGTTATTAAACTTTTCGGAAGTTCCTTATAAAATTATTCATAAGGTATTTTTTTTTAAATCCATCCTCCTCTTAGGCAACCAGTTTTCAACACATTGTACTCCTAAAATATATATTGAGAACGTTAACTCTAGAAATAAAAGAAAACATGAAGTGGCAATGAAATGAATAATTTATCTAGCGTAATATGTATTTTGACGAACACATTGACCAGTTATCGCAGTCTTTCAATTGTCATTCAAAAACAAATTAATTTTGTTCAGATTTGGAAGAGTAGGACGACGTTATTTATGACACGGCAATTTAAAAATACTAGGAAAGAAAAAAAAAGCAGTTCGTTTGAGATATGCGTTACACTACCATCGAATTTCTTGCTGGTGCATGTTGAAAGAATAAACGATTCAACCGTCAGATTGTAGTGGCAAAATTTGCTTTGCACGATTAAGCGAATGCGTAGAAGTAACGTCGAGCACCATAACGTCCTGAAGACGTCTAGCGACATTAAATGATAATGATAGTAATCTCAATACTTGCTAGAAACTGGTTTTAAAAGTATGAAAAAGGACTATCTAGCATGTGTACTCAAGCTATTCTTCGTGATATTTTAGTCTATCCACTGGGATAGGAAAATAAGAACAAATCTTTTCAAGTCATGACAGACTGTGTTGGGAAAACGCGGAATATTTTTACTAACTCAAAACGTTTTGTAGTGCAAATATCTCGATGTAGATTGATAACGATATGAACATATCGATATGAACGATATGAAAATGTCTATAAAAGCCGTTTTTTTAGGTCAGTGATTCATTACATAAAAATAATAGTAATAATGTAAATGCGACCTTAAAGCAATCAATCATTTGTCCACCTCTCATCTCTCAAATTGATAAATTTATTTGCAATGTTTGAACTTTTTGACTGATTTGTTATTCGATTTTAATGGTAAAGCCCTTTGTGCTGCAGGCAGCGTTAACTGTTTGAAGATCCAATATATTAACCAAGCTTATATTCTCATGCTGAAATATTGTAACCAACCAAGCTTTTCTACTGTAACCTTGTTCTGGTCTATTAAGAGATAATATGTATTTTATGGGAATATTGTAAACCAATCCCACTATATAAACAGATGAGCCAATTAATGAGATTTAGTTCCATCATTATCGCTCTTGGAAGAACAGCGCGCTTCAAAATCCTCCAAGTATTTCTATAAATTTCCAATCTAGTCTAGTGATCGACTGTATCTGTATTACTTGCTGATACCTGTTTATTACCTAAAGAAAGTATGAATACTCCAAACTCAGCAAGCCTTCCGCTTAACCATTTTCCGTCGTCTACCAATAAAAGAATTAAGACTTCTCTAATAAAGTGCAACTTTCAGGCATACTGCGTATCCTTCAGATGATGAGATAAATACTATGAAAATTCGATTGAACTTACCAGCTGGCAAGTACACATCAGTCCAGTCTTTTCCTTTTCTGGAAAGCGCTGATGGAAGAATCCAAAATTGATCCAACTTTCCAAAGTCAACCAAACCTGTTCATAAAATGCAATATAATTGCAATTTCTGTAGCAGCTAAAAAAATCTTTACCCAACTGTCCTTTTTAAATATCTGAAATAATTCAGTACAATATGCTCATAAACAAAAAACTATTATCCTAATATATATTACCTTCTTTGTACATACGTATTGCTCGTTCCACATTATTTCTATCCAAATACCATGGTTGCCAATTATTCCACAGTGGTCGATCATAATTCGGATCACGATAGCGACGCCAGTATGTTGGATTCAGCCAGTCTGTATACCACTTATAGCGAGACCTGGAACAAATTAAGAACAGTTCCTCAGAATAAATAAGCAATCTTTTTATGAGTATATTTTACCTGTAGTAGCAGAAAATGCGAAACAAAACATAGATTATCGTGTGATCAAGTTGAAAAAAAATTATGCACCGTGAAGCAAAAGTTGAGAACCAGTTTACCAAAAAGCAGGATATTCAAAACCAAGACTTCTTGGGATCGGGTCAGTGTTGAGATATCGGCGAGCTGCAAATCTGTAGTCTTGCCAATGCAATGCAGTGTTAAAAAACATGCGGTCGTGGTAATAATCGTCCAACTATAATCTCACGAAATTAGTCTTATTTTGTTAAATGTTAAATTTAGTCATAGGAATCAAAATACAGAAAGAACAGTAAACAGACCAAATCGTAATCTCGTCGGTATTTGAATAATGTTGATGGACGATATCGTTCACCAACGTGGATACCATCTAAACTGGGCACCGATGTTACTCTAAAATTCAGAACAAATATGAATTCAAAACAACGATGAATTCAAAACCCTGGAAATATTCTAATACAAATGAAGTATTTCCTAAAATTTCCGGAATAAAAACGAACCGGGTAAGCGTGGCTACATCTCCTCTTTCAACGGAACGTGCACGTGGTAATGTAACTGCAGATCGCGCCCTGAACACTGGGAAACTCATCTTTCATTCAATCTTCAATATCTCTGCCTCAAATTATATGCAGGTAAAAACGCAGTCACTGAAATTCTGCAAGTAGCACTGTGTAGAATCGTTTCCACCTGTCTTAAGTTTCTATGCACGCTTACTTAACTCTATTATGAAGGCAAAATAGTGGAAATTCAATAAAGAAATTGTGATATCTCCATATACATTAAATAGTCCTCCTTTAAAGGATGAAATTTTCCACTTCGATAATCAGTAGATTGGAGTAATTCAGTGAAGTCAATAAGCTTTCACTAAGTAAAAAGTAACTTTCAGTGCGAAAATCCCTGAAGAGATACGAAAACATGGTAGAGTACGAATGTTTGTTCAGCAAAATAATCTGTTGTTGGAGGAACTCAACTTCGAATGTATCCAATATGAGTTGCATCGTTTGTGCCGAAGATCCAGAAATGAAGGAGATTAGTGGAGGAGAGAGGCTGTTATTATTTGAGATAAGACGGAACGTAAAAGTTATTTTGCACAGCTGAGAATAACTGACTGATAATGAAAGAAGAAGACTGTTCATTAGCAGTAAGATAGTAAGTTGTTTCTAAGAGTAAACTCATATATAAATTCTTTCTTATGGCTCTATTCAAGTCTACTTCGTACTTTTCGAGACTTCTGAAATGATTTCTCAAACGAATCGCAAGAGCAGTGGTCCAATGTGACGGGTGGTCCGCAAGAGCAGTGGTCCAATTTTTGGCTGCGCTACTGTATGTCACACAATACCTTTGAAGGGCCAAAAATTCATACTTGGACCTAATCGATATTCCAATTCTTTGGAATGCTAATTCAATTACGGACGGGAAAATGAAGTACTATTAAAATCATGAGCGAAAAGCCACAAAAACATGACCACATTAATCGTGCACATTAAAGCAAAATTGTCACGAGAAATAACACATTTCACCTTTACCTTCATTTGCTGTCGCGGAACCCGACCTCAAAACCGGGCTTTTAGGCCCATGGCAAGGTAAAACAACCTGGTTGTGCGAAGCAGAGTGATATAAGAGCTTGAGAGGATCAGGTAGTTCCAATGATTAACAGTCTGTCTCTTTCTTTTATCCCTCCCCTTGATTCAAGGCATGTGCTCAGTACACTTGTCACTCACAGCTGCCCAGTGATGGTCATGTTTTGTTTTTCCTCTAAATAAAAAGTTTATTTGAAACTTGTGAATGTAGAATTATTCAAAAAATGCATAATCTCTACTGCAATTAAATTCGCTCATTTTAATTACTGAATCAAACTCAAACTCATTGTCTATCTTGCCTTAGCGTAATTTTCAATTTTATTGGATAAAACGATAAGTTAGGTTTGGGGGATCATCGCTCTACCAAATTAATGAGAAAGTTTTTGATTTTCTTTCACCACTTCATTTAATACCTTCCTACTGGATTTGGAATTTCAATGCAACGTGGATGCTGCATAGCCACGTTTATGTTTTAGCTTCAACATTCACATAATTTGACATTCGATCATAGAACATTCTCAAGTAGAAAGATTTGCTATACACCCGAAATGTTTTATATCTCCTCCCAATGATAATTCCTTACTTGAGCATACATATTTTGTCAACAACTGCATGTTTTAATAGATCATTGACTATGCAAAGGGCAATTGGATCTGAGCATGCTGCTCCACAGTGTCATTTTATTTATCTAAAAACTGATCTAATTATTCTTTCTTTTTATTTTTTGGAAAATACTTCATGTAGTAATAAAGGTTTAAGTTCATTATGGTCATATTTTTGTTCTTGTTAACCCGCTTGTTCCCTTTAAAAACTTGTTATTTTATGGATTTACATCTGATTACGTATTAGGGGCTGATTACGCCTTACATTTTATTACGGGCTTAGGAAACTGTTGTGGAAGCTGTATATTTGTTTTTTTTTTTCTCTTTGTTTCGAAGATAGCGACACGATGATTAGAGATGCTCTAACAGCTGTTTTACATTCATTCTTTACGGCAAATCTTTTTAACGATGAAACAGAGTAGTACTTATTGTGTGCACTCAGTATATCTCGACAACCTTATCTTACTTTATTTATGTTTCTCCAGTCTTCCATATCTTCTTGTTTTCTGTCATTTTTTTTTCTTTTTTTTGTATTTTATTGCCTTCTTTTTCCACCATTATATCTTGATTTTAGAAATGGGTCTAATCAATGATTTCGTAGAATAATTGCATATCTCCTCGAGTCTTTTAAAAGTGGAAAAAGTTTACAGAAAAATGGTGAACTTTTTTAAAGCTTGTAGATTCAGTGACCTTGATAAAAGTGGCAGTGACATTGATTTCATTACTTTTCTCTTTTCTAGCAATTAAAAAATTTCATATGCCCTTTCCACATTCCATTTTATTCTGGTCAGGTGGAAAATTCTTAATTCTTTCAAACACTTCAGACAAAAATTTCGCCGGTGATTAAACAAGTAAACTGTATCACACATACATAGGCATAAACAAACATGCATACTCATACCGAAAATTTTTACTGCAAACAAATGGAAAATGAAGACCTTTTTTTGAAAAGGAATAAGCGGCATGGAGGATTTGCGGAAAATTGACACCAAAAAAACTTGAAATAGCAAAATGATGGACGCCAACCTTATTTTAACTAACAGCTGTTCGGAATTCCTCCAACATCTTCAAACTCTTATTGAAATACGTTCTAATTAGATAAATTCAACATCAATGGCATTTATGTTTTGAAGGTTGTATTTTGTTAATTTTTCCAAAAAACCATTGTTTAGAATTTTCCGTTTATCATTGTTCAGGAAAATGCTTTCATTTCAGTACTTAAAGCATGAAATTAAATTGGTAAAGGTGAGCTCATTTAGAATAAAAGCCTTATAACCAAAACTTCTTTGGTGAAAAGCTAGATGTAGTACTTCTACGATAATACATCAAGCCCTCAAAAAAGGAGTCTCTTTTCTACCATTTTTAATTCATCATTACTTGATCATTTTGTCAAACATAAAAATTGAAAATTTTCAAATGATTCCACAGTTTCTTGTCTAAATACTGTAAGTATGAACATTTTTTAGAATTTTCGGGAAATCTAACTGGCAACTGACCAGTTAAAGTTTTGTAAGATTGGCTTCTGTCTGACTGAAAACTTTGCATAGAAATGTAATAAGCATTTCTTCTACTGAGTACCGCTCAACTCTTTTTGTTCTTGTAACTTCGTATCATCAAAGGTTTCACGATCATCGTTGTCACAGCATTTCAAATGGTCCTGACGCTTTCTTTTATTGAACGAAAATATAATAGATCTGAACTTTTTAAATTGAATGGCCGGTTAAGGAAAATGAACGGAAATGCAATCAAATAATTTAACATGGTTTTTGATCAAGAAATCAAAAGTCTTTTAGTTCTGAAGTTACTTCGCAGCTTCACTTTAGCAATTAGTGCTTTTGGTCTTTTTCTTGCACAGTTGAAATGATTCATTTAACGGTAAGTTGTTAGCGATGACAAATTTTCGAATATCAGTCCAATGATGTATGTTGAGCCACCGCATATACAACTGACTCACTTTTTGTTCGAAACTCTTCAAAGCTTTCAGCTTCAATTAATACAACTATAATGACAGGAATGCGCAAAATAGCATTACATTAAACACATGAACGTCAAACGTGATTGTGTAAGTATAAAATGTGTTGACAGCATTCAAGCAATGGGAAATTAGAAGAGGGACAAAAAAGGGACAATATAGGGCAAGAAAGTTGATCATATCAGGTCAACCTGTCAAAATTAACTCCATTTGGCATACCCATTTGCCAGAGGACAATTTTTCATTTTTGCTTCCTCCGCCATCAAGTGAGCGAACTCAGTATGATATCAGTTCCATAACAGTCAGGCGGCATAATGATTAAAGTATGGTTGATCTGCTTATCCTTGATATGTTCCATGAATCTAACTGCCTCATTAGCTCATTAAGGTAATATTTCGCACATTTCGGATAAATA